AGCATACTAACAAGATTTATCCTCTGTTACATAAGGATGACAATGAGTAAAGTACCTAATAAACATCTACAAAATTTACCCATAATGAATAGGGTATTTACCCGCTATATAGATACGGGTACAGGTATGGGTAATCACCCGCAAATTTTAACAGGGATGAGTGCGGGTATGGGCATCCTAGTACCCATCCCGCTCCATACCCGCACTATATATATATATATAATAAAAATATATTTAATAATAAAGTAAACCAAAAAAATTATTTTGGTCTATATTTTTAATAGAAAAATTTATTTACTATTTTATATCGTTTAATTAGGCTAATACAATTTAATTGCTACACAGTTGATATAAGATTGCTTCTTTTAAAAATAATATTTTAAATTAAAATATAAAAAATAAAATTTAAATATTATCAATAAACAATAAACTTATGGTAATAGTAGGTGATTGTAAAATTTATAAAATATTTACAATATTTTATTATTTATCATTCACTTTATGATTTAAATATGAATATGATTTTACTAATAAAAATATTTGTGTGAAAAATATTTTACGTGTATCATATATATATATATATATGCTTGAACTTTGTTTTATAACTATGTATTGAAATTTTGCATTATTATACTACTTATGTGAAGTTATATAATTAATATAAAAATATATTTAATAATAAAGTAAATCAAAAATATTATTTTGGTTTATATTTTTAATAGAAAAATTATTTACTATTTTATATTGTTTAATTAGGTAATACAATTTAATTATTACACATGTGCATTACAACCACAACTATAATTTATTAAATTTAAATAATATTATTGTGAACACTAAAATTTTGATTTAATTTTTTTTAAATAAAAATAAAAATGAAAAAATAAAAAATAAAAAAATCTGAATTTTAATATTACAAAAGAAGAATGGAATCAAAAGGTTTTTAAAAAAAAAAACAAAAAACAAAAAAAAAAACAAAAAAAAATAAAATAAAAAAATAAAAATTTTTCTTAATAAAATAGGAAAATTTCAGAATTAAGTTTTAAAAGGAAAATAGAATATGACAAATAATTAAATTCTTGAACCAATGTTACTTTATACATAAAAAAGGAAAAATTCAGAATTTTGGGCCTTTTGTGAAAACCCTAACAATAAAAGGAAAAGAGGACCATGGAGTAGGGGGAGACATCAGAGGAGGCTAAAAATTTTTTGAGAGGAGGCATTCTAAAACGGGGAGAGAAAAAGAGAAAATAGAGAGAAAGAAAGGTTAGTGGAAAGGAGGAAGAACAAGAGGCAAGCAAAAATTTTCAAGAACATCAAGTAAGCTTCATCGTACATTTTACACATTCTTCTTCTTCATACATATTTATATTTTGAATAAACATTTCCTATATCAAATCAATCTCAAATGATAAAAAAATATTTTAAACCACCATTTCAAATATCCATGTCTCACCACCTCTCCACCCATTCCTCCATCTATCATCATCCACAAACACAAAACTCACCATAAAAAAACTCTTACCCTACCTTGTCTCATTCCTCTTCCTTTTGCTCTCAATAACCTTCACCACTCAAAACCATGGCCTCCATTAACCTCACCTCCACCCTTTCATAACCTTTTTTTTGTTTTTCTTGGAGAAAAACACACCCCTAACCCTAAAGTCTTTCCCTCTCAAATCTGAAAATTTAAAATTTGAGACCATTTTATCCTTTTTTTATTTTTTATTTTATTTTTTTTGTCCGAATTTTTTTTATTTTATTTTTATCATTATTTAGTTCAACATATAATTTATTGTTTTAGTTTTATTTATTTATTCATCATCATTATTATTTGTTATTATGATAATTATTAATTTATTTAATGAATGAGTTTTTATTATTTATTTTATTTTTTTATGTTAACTTTGTTTAAATTATTTTATTTTATTTTATTTATTTAAAATCTCTTGATACCGTTTACTTTACAATATCATATCTGAGTTGATTTTTTTTTTAAATTATTTTCTTTTTTATATTTCATTATTTATATCTTGTTTTTAGGATTGTTATCTTTTATTTTATTTATTGTATATTTGTATCATATTAATGCGATTTAATTTTATATTTATGATTATTTTATTTTATATTGTGAATACTAAATTACTTATTTTTTTATAATTAATTAATAATTAATAATATAATTGTATCAATTTATAATACTAACGTATAGCTTCTCTATCGTCATGTATTATAAATTGATAAAGTCTATGTGTACCTACTTTACCAAGACTTTATGCAATATTAACTTATTACATATTGTCATTAATTAATTAGTTAATCACTTTAATAATAATGCAAGATGTATTTCTCTTCTAAATACTAATTTACAAATCAATCAACTAATTTAAATCTAAATTATTTTATTAAGAAATAATTTATAATGCTAATGTGTAGCGACTCTACCTTTATGCGTTATAAATTGTCAAAATCTATGTGTACCAACGTTACCTTAGGTTTTATATAATATAAATCTATCAAATAAAATTTTTAATGTTTTTTATTAAATGAGTATCTTCTTTAATCAATTCAAATAAAATTATTTTTTTTATTTTCTTAAGTCATGTTTCAAATTTTGATAAATTAAATTACTATAATTTATTCATTTTATAAATTTTTATAATATCGATGTGTAATTTACATTGCCTTTGATAGTCTAATAAATTATAAGAAGTTTATGTATAGCTTACGCTATCTTAAATTTCTTTCAATATTAATCATAATCAAAATTAAAATTCAAATACTCCATTTACGAATAAAATATTTCTTAATGATTTGCAGTATAGTTGTGTGATCTTCCTTCACTTTCTGTATTGTTTTCTCGTAGGGTACATGTATAACTGCATTATCTTGTATCCTAAACATTATAATTTTTACGAAAAATGATTTTAATTCTAAAATAAATTTTTCTTTTACTAAACTTAATTATAATAAACTAATTTCATAATTTTTAGATAGAACTACGTGACTTTGAGTTCCCCATTGCATCCGGGGATACGTAGGAGCGAGAACCGTACCCGTCAAGTCAAAATATTTTTTAAAATAACCCGAATAATATTTCAATAAATAATATTTCTTCTTCTAAAATAAAATAATTAATGTTTAGGGGTTAAATAAATATTTTTCAAAATTAGAATAATTTTGTACAATTAATTTTAGGTAACCGTTTTTTAAACGAACGTTGTAGGGTGCTAATACCTTCCCTACACGTAAATGACTCCCGAACTCATTTTTTTGGTTTCAAAGATCGTATTATATTTAAGTTTTTCCAAGGTTTTTCTTAAAAATAAACTTTGGTGGCGACTCCTCTGATATTTTGGAACAAGTTTGTCATCCGTCGTACCGTTGCGATCGCCCGGTTGCGACAATTATTCTTACCATTTATTTACATTTGAAGAAGTTTTTGAAAAGGTATAAAGTATAAATTTTTTTTGTTAATTCTTATTTGTTAATTTTTTTTTGAATAAAAAAGTATAATTTTTTTGATACACATATGTATTTCTTTATTATAAAATTTATTGTCTTTTATTCAAATTCTTTCTTTTAAAATTTATATACATTATAAATATTTAATTCATTAAAATAATTTTTTAAAAATTTGTATTTTTGACAATATTTTTGTATAGTAGATGAGTTAAAAATATTTGTATTAATATATAAATATTAATTATATTATATTTTTTAATTAAATCAATTATTTTTCATATAATTTTAAATTAAAAAGTTAAAACCCTAAACCCTAAACCTTAAACCCTAAACTCTACCCCAACTCTACTCTCATTCTCAATGTTTACCTCATTAAAACCTAGCAACTATGAAATGTTATTCATTGGAGTTAGTTGTCAATGCCGTCACAAGAAGTCACCAAGTGATCCCAGACGAAGGACCACCTATTGTACAGATCTATTTCGTTGTCGTTCTGATATTGCTCATCAATCGAATTTCACATAAGATAGGGTCATTGCCGACAAATAACTTGTGTGTTTAATTTTGCTTATTGTTCTTAAGAATTTTAGTTTAGAAAATTACTGTATTAAGATATATTTAGCACTTGTGATCTTTGAATATTTATTTTTTTTATTTATGTTTGTACCTTGTTTAACAACTACTGCTTGAATTTTTGTATTATTATGGTACTTATGTGAAGTTATATAAATATATTTTTCTTTATAAATTTTTTTTTTCAAACAAGCGTGGGTAATGAGTAGAAGATGGGTATACGAGTATCTAGAGGATACAGGTACGGTACGAGATCAATGTTCATATCCACGCGAATATGAGGCTGAGTACAGTTATTTTTTTAAAATGCGGATATAAAAATGGATACTATAGTATCCTACCTATTATCATCCCTATTGCTATTGTCACAGTACTATTTAGTTTGTAAGAATTGTTTGTAATAGGTAAAATTATTATTTTAAAAAAATAATAACTTCCTGATATTTTAAAATAATAAATAAATTAAAATTCAGAGTTTAATTTAACATGTAAAATAAAATAGAAGAAATATATGAAATGAAAGTATTTATTATAAAATATTATTATTATTTAATTATAATTGTCTTCATTGGAGATTAATCTTAATCGAGTCGGTAAAATTATCACTAACGATAAATTTTTTCTTTTATCTTATACAGTAATCAATACTTTAATATTTAATTTATAAATAATTAATAAAAATGAACTAAAACATTTCTCTAAATGTTAACACATTAATTAGCAACAACCTATGTATAGCAATAAACAAAATCAGTAGCTACTTCAAGCCATTCACATCGCTCAGATGTGGAAACGGCGTTTAATTTCGTTCACACGCCGTTTTGGGATCAAGTAATGGACGACATTAATTACTTTAGAGGATAGAAGTTGCATTACAACAGAAAGAGAGAGGAACAAAACGGTGCACAGTGATAGTTGGTTAGTTGTTATATTCATTAAATTTAGCCAACAAAAGTTAGGGATAGAATTTCCAAACGAAGACACACTCTATTTAACTTCATCTTACCTATCTTGACAGCCTCAAATTAACCCACAAAATTTCACACTCCATAAATCACAAACTTTAGTTAACAGTGCCAAAACACAACACCACAACCAAATGGCTGTAACCACCACCCCCAAAGTAGCAGCAATCGTCACTCTGGTTCTCGCAATAGCATGTTATGGCACATCTGCGCCAACTCTGGCACCGGAAACCGCTGCGGCTCCGTCTCCGGGGGGCAGTGATTGCTTCATGGTAATAGCAAACGCGTCTGATTGTCTAACCTTTGTGGAAGATGGGAGTAATTTGACCAAACCTGACAAAGGGTGTTGCCCTGAGTTTGCAGGGTTGCTTGAAGGCAACCCTATTTGCCTCTGTGAGTTGCTTGGCAAACCTGATTCTATTGGCATCAAGATCGACATGAAACAAGCTCTCAAGCTCCCTTCTGTTTGTGGCTTGAAAACTCCCCCTGTTAGCACCTGTGCACGTAAGTTTCATCTTCTTCATGACAACAATGGCTATCTATTGTTATATATAACTTGCTTTTCAACTTCTAGATTATCAAAACTCATCAATCTTATGCACTGTGTTTGGCTAGTTGCTACAGGTGAAGAAGGATTTTCATATACACTGTTATATAAGAAAAAAATGTAAATAATTTTAGTCAGATTTGTTAATATAGAGTCACAGTTATTTATTTTATTTTATGTCTTTGTCTTAATTATATCTATAAAGGATTCGAATCTTAGAATCTTTAGTTAATAAACATATTTTAGATCTGAAATTTGGTTGTAATGTTTTTATAAAATATTGCCGATCGTCAGGTAGATCTGAAATTTTATTAATCTATAAATAGCAAAATTTTATAAAAAAATATATAGTTGCTAATATTAATTATTTAAATAAAAAATATTTTATAAATTTCTACTTTTAAGATTAAGTTTAAGAATCTAAATGTATGAGTATACAATAAAGAAAGAATTCAAATATACTATATTTTTTAAAAATCATGAAAGTATAATAATGTTTATTTTTAATAAAAATTACTATTATCAAATTTAAAGATTGAATTTACTATAACTTGCATTTTTGTGCATTTCCAGCTCAGAAGGAGCTTGTATGTATGATAGTGCACATGTTGGCAATTATTAGCGGCGAGAAACTAGCACCGTTTCCACCGCCATCGGCCAACGATGCAACTACAGTAGAATTTAGTGCTGTAGGACCCATAACAACAACTTCAATCTCTTAATTTACGTTATAATTAATGCCATCTTTTTCCCTTGTTTTCATGGTGCCATTTTATTTATAGAAAACATTTATCTATAGTAAAATTTTATGTATTTCTACAATTGGGAGAATTGAATACCTTTCTTACATGTAAAATAAAAAGATTATTGATAATTTTATATTAATAATCACTAGAATTAGTGGTTTAATTAAAAAATTAATATTTTTAAATTTTTAAAATTTAAAAAAATTATATTTATTAATTTTAAAAAATATAAAATATCTCTTAAAATTTATAAATATTATAGTAAACACCTTTTTTTATTTTCCACCTTTAGATATATTTATATTTTTCAAAGGTATATTTACATTTTCCAAAGTTCAAGTGTTAGATTAATGTATTATTGACCAAAGAAAATTCTTTGGATATGTATTATGAAGACTGTTTTAATTTTGTTTTGTTGATTTCTCATATTGTGACAGTTGCGGGAATCCCTGTGTCCATGCCTCCTTCAATGAGTGATGGTTCCATGTCACCAAGTGAGTTTTCATTTATTTATTAATATTTTATTTAGATGAATTTAATAAAATCGAATATTTTTATAAAGCTTAATTGATAGTAAAAATTGACATATTTGTTGTCAAGCTCTATTATCTTGTTAATGTTAGCCTTCTTTTAAAAATAAGTTTTCATAATACAAATTTTAAAATTCTGAAAATAAGTTTACAAAATTAGGTTTTTACAATGCTGAAAATTAATTTCTAGAATTATTAATTCTTTTTAAAAATAAAAATTTAAAATTATGATTCTACACTTTCAGAAATAAGTTTCTGGAATTAATATTTTACATATTTAGAAATTAATTTCTAGAATTGTTAACCATTTTTAAAAATAAATATCTGGAATTAAAGATTCTGTACTTCTAAAAAATAAATTTTGGAATTATAAAATTTTAATTTTGAAAATTTATTTCTAAAAGTGTAGAATCTTAATTTTGAAAAATTTTTATGAGAAGAATTAATTTCTAAAAATATAATTTTAGAAACTTATTTGAAAAAGATCTTTTTATTCTCATAAAAAATATTTTGAAAAAAAGTTAGAAATTCTTTTAATATAGATATAAAAAGAGAAAATGAGTGCAAAAACTAACCCTTTAACCTCTTGGAGTGACCAAAGAGAAAAACACTTTTTTGAGTTTTGACAAAAAAAAAATTAAAATCCTTTTGAGTCAGTCACCCTACAAAAAGGGATTGAGAGTGTATCTCAGAGAGGTCGAAAAAATTAACAACTAGAGAAATGAAATTGATCCATCTATTTAGATTTGTGTTACACCTGAATTTACATTGTCATGACAATTTCAGCAACTCTTTATTTCACATTTAAAATTCCATTTCTAAAATGAAAAACATTTAAGCTCCTTTTAGCAATTTTCTTTAGCAATAATTTTTTCCCACAATTCATAGTTTATTATGATTTGAAGAAATTATTTTAACACAATTTCAAAAATCTCTTTTATAATTGATTTATTGTAATAAAAAAACCTTTGATTGGCAAAAGCATTGTTGTTCTCTTCAATGTACAATGAAAGAATTGCTAGTTGCTACTAGCATGAAATTGTCTTGGTGATAACTTCATATTGTTTCTCTAAAATATAATGAAGGTATTGCACCAGGAGCTGCTGCCACCAGTCCTTCAAGTAGAGCTTCTAGTCCTGGTATGTCATTCTAGTTTTGTGTTCTTTTTTTTTTTTTTTCAATACTTATTATCTAAACAAAGTAAAATAATTTAAATTTTTCTATTTTTATTTATATAAATTTTTAAAATTTTTTAGATAATAAATACATACACTTTTTATTTAATACATACTTTATTAAGTAAAAAAAAGTGATTATGAGAAAGATATACAAGATAAGAACTCAATAAAAAATATGCAGATGGTCGAGGTTCTTCTTCAGACGAAGCTGCTGCTAACCCTTCTCAAAACAAAAACGAAGCTTCGGGCATTCAAGCCTCTACTTTGGCTTTAGTTTTTGGCTTCTCCACCGTTTTTGTTTCTATTTTCTTTTGATTAATTTAATTTACACACATTTCTTTGTGCCATTATTTTCATACATCTTTTATTTCCTCATTATTTGTATGTTTGTAAGTTGCTTTGACAACGCCTTTTGTTGTAATTTTATGCTCTGGTACTATTATTATTGTCATTTGACATACTTTAACTAGGATCTTCTTGTCACTATTGTCTCGATCTATTCATTTTTGGTGTTGTATTATATTTTGATTTTTAAAAATAAATAATATTGTCATATTCCAATGTGATTTTAGTGGATGAATCAAGAATGTGTTTACCATGTGAAAAGTTAATTGTTGTAATTTACATAAACTCTAAGATTTACAGAGAGTATATATATATATGTATATAATTCTGAGAGAAAAAAATGCCATTTATAAAAATTAGAAAGATAAATATAAAAAAATTATAAAATAAACTAAAATGTTTAAAAAGAAATCACTAGCCTATTGAGTCCTTTTTATAAATAAATTGATAATACTAAAAAATTAAACATAACTTGAAGATAATGATAAAGTATTGACTAACAATAATATCATATCATGTGTATCTTACTAGAATACTAAGTGTGTCATATTTTGATACATTGTTCACCGTTTTAAGCATGTATTGGAAATGTAATTAAGTATGAGTTATTATCTTAGTCATTATATAATTATTACAATATGTGGAGTTTATATTATAATTTTGTGAATAATGTTAGCAACATATTTTGTTATAATGTACTTTTTATTATTAAATTAAAATTTATTAAAAATTATGGTAATGTAAATCTTATTTTTCCTCTCTTAAATTATTATTTATCTTTCATATTTTTTAAGTTTTTAATAAATTTTAATTAATAATGAGTAGTATGTTAAAGAGAGTATTGTTAGCATTTTTTTAATTTTGTCTTACTTCTTAGAATTTTTTAGTGAATCCTAGTTAATTACTTTTCCATTTTAGCTTGTTTTCTTTTTTCTTTACCAATTCTTGTATAAATATTTAATATAATATACTAAAAATGTAGATAATACATTCAATTTTCATTTTCTTGATTTCAATACTCTTTTCTTCTTCAAATGAGAGTTTATCCGGGTTGAATATTATGTTACCCATAAATGTATAATCTTATAAACTTTACAAATAGATGTCTAATCTTAGAGATGTGTTAAGATGTCTAATATTGGTTAGGAATTGAACAAAATACTCATTCTAAGACTAAATTAAGTCTTTTTTTTAAAAAAAAAATCCTTTAGATATTTATCTTGTTATAACTATCCAATAACATTGCATCTTTGTCTATGTATTTACATGATCAAAACTTAGAAATTCACTTTTTTTTAATAAGAAAATTAGGAAATAATTCTTTAGTTATAAGAAGAAAATGTGATAAAAAGGCTAAAAAGTCTTAAATAAGAAACAATAGTTAAATTACTAAACAAAAAATGAGCTAATTTTATAAAGAGGATCATTAAGTGAATTGACTAGAAGAAGAGACTTGGAAATAACGATACTAAATTTCTAAATGAGTATACGAATATTAATGGATATCATCTATAACTTTATGTAAATAATTATTTGTATTAAATAATGAATCATATTTTAATTACACTTATTAAATTTTAATGTAGCTTAATTATATAATATTTATGTTTAAATTACTTTGAATTGGTTGTATTAATTGAAAAGGTCTTAATTATATTTAAATATCAAAATATACTAATTCTGAACTTTTAGCATTTCTTATGTGTGTTTACTATTTTGATAATATCTTGATCTGAGTTATAGGTAGAATTTTGAGGTGATTCTTGTTTTATTAAAAATCTCTTTTTTGGGTCTCTAATTTTGTAGGTAATTTCACACAAAAATTATGTTTGGGCTTGGTAGATATTTCTTGTACAAGTTGAAACATTGTAGGTGCTTGTTAAAATCTTTATATTATGATTTTATTGGACATAATTTATTTTATTGGGGTCCATTACATTTTTAATTTGCATTTACTAATTTAGACCTAATAAGGATAATTTTACATTTAAGCTTATTTTTATTTTCATATTTAAGACTTAAATTTTTAGAATTAGTTTTTATTTTTGTTTTTCTTGTTTGTGTTCTCCTTCTATCTTTTATTGCTCTATGTTTATGGATCGAAGGCTAAACACTTGAGGATTGATTCTTCAATTCAAGTTCAATAATTGAAGTTTGATGTTTTGTCTTTAATTGAACTTAAATTGATTTTACCTCTTATTCTCAATCTTTTTCTTAGATTTTGTATGATTTTCTTAGAGTTGAGTTGCATATTTAAGTGGTTAGATATGTAACGATACAAAAAATGCTAAGCTATGCTGTATTTGGATCCAGATATCGGTTAAGGTCGCTCCCAAACTGAAAAATTTTAAGTTCTTACTGGATTATCGAGGTTGTAAAACCATTTTGAACTAAGTTGTTGCATTAGATAGGCTGGGAATTGGTGAAATTTTTGCATTGTTTTGCTGAGAACTATGAATGTACTAAGTTGTATAAATATTTACATTTATGTTCTACACTTTATGTGTATGATTGTTTGTTGTATAAGCTCACTCTTGCATTTTGTTTGTGTTGGTGTGTGTTGTGATGATCATATGGTGATACGTGAGTAGGTGTGATAGGTGATGTTGTCGAAATGACTCGAATTAGCTGATCAATAATATAGTCTGAGATGTGTAAAACACCATTCTTAAAGATTATTTTGGTGTAGTCGAAAATCCTCCAGGATACAGCAGACTCTTCTTGTCTGAATGAACAAGGCTCTAAAGAACTAGCAAGCTTCACTTAACTAATAACCTAGAGAAATAAATATAATCAGAAAAGTATGTGCATCTTTCGTGCAGTTTCTCAAAAGATTTAAAATACTTTAATTACTATAATTACTCACATAAACTTTACATATAACTGAAGATATAAGTAATAATAACAATTAAATTAGAATAATAAAATAAAATAAATAATTAATAAATTCTTTTGAAATATAATTATATTATTTCCAACAATCCCCCGCTTATTTGAAAAGCATGTAATGTAATAAAATAAATTATTTTAAAACTGGGTTACACTATGAATGTAAATACTTCGAGTCTAGTGTTTTCTAGACTATGAACTAGACCTAGATAAAGAGGACCTTAATTAACAATGTAATCGGTGAAGTAAAACTTCTATAAACCAATATATTTTTTAATGTAAATTAGAGTCCCATTTGATCACATTTACACCATACATTTCTCTTGCTGTTAACATTGTGTTATGCTTTTCGGCCATGCACGTGCCTAGATGTTTATGAGTGCTTTAGAGACTAAGCTATCATCTCATAGGAGCGGCCCACTTCACACTCATATAGGTAATTCTATCATGTGTATATTGCACTTATACACAACTAATAAAGGATATAGAATTCATTAAAAGCTCTTGCTTATCCTTATGTTAATGCAGTCTATTACTTCTCATATTTCTCACACCATAGGAAAGGATAAACAATGTACTAGCAAGACTAACAATTGGTTATTATCCATATGAACCTTTTCATGGGATCTCCACTCATAAGGTTGGGTTACTATCAATGTTAGATATCAAATTAGCTTAAGACCCATTCCCCTTGATGTGGTATATATTAAATTCTTTCCCAAGGTCTTGGTTAAAGGATCTGCCAAGTTCAATTCTGACTTCACATAGTCAATAGATATAATTCCATCCTTTAGCAGCTGCTTTATTATCCCATGTTTCAACCTAATGTGTTTACTCTTACCATTAAAGATTTTATTATTTGCAATAGATATTGCCGCTTTATTATCACAATGTATAGATATAGAAGGAGTTGACTTTACTCCCAATGGAATATTATCTAAGAAATTTCTTAACTACTCAGCCTCAGTTCCAGTTTTCTCCAAAGCTATAAACTCTGATTTCATTGTGGATTTTGTAATTATTTTTTGTTTTGCTGAACTCTAAGTTACTACACCACCACCAAAGGTGAGGACAAAACCACTAGTGGATTTAATCTCATCTAAATCTAAAATCCAATTAGCATTACTGTATCCTTCTAATACAGTTAGAAATCCACTATAAATAAGACCATAATTCATTGTACCTCTTAAATATTTTAATAACCTAACCAAAGCGACCCAATGATCATTACTAGGATTATGAGTATATCTACTCAATCTACATACAACATATACAATATCAGGTATAGTGAAATTTATCAAATGCATCAGACTCCTAATGATTTGTGTATATTGAGACTGAGCAATTGGATCACCTCTATTTTTCTTCAATTGGGTGTTAGCATCATAAGGGCTACTTACTGATTTGACATTAAAATGTTTAAATTTATTTAGATTTTTCTCAACATAATTTTCTTGTGATAATATTATACTATCACACTTCCTTATGATTTAAACTCCCAGAATTATACTAGCTTCATCCATGTCTTTCATGTCAAATTTAGATGTAAGAAAATATTTTGTTTGCTGCACTATGTCATGGCTAGTACAAAAAATAAGCATGTCATCCACATATAGACAAATAATCACACATTCACCCTTTTCTAATTTTGTGTATACACATTTGTCAACTTCAACATTAGAAAACTCATTACTAACTAAGGTTTGGTCGAACTTATCATGTCATTGCTTAGGAGCTTATTTTAGATCATATCAAAGATTTGAGGAGCTTACAAACTTTATTTTCTTGTCCAAGAATTACACACCCCTCAGGTTGGACAATATAAATTTCTTCCTCTAACTCACCATTTAAAAAAGCTGTTTTAACATCCATTTGATGAATAACTAAATTATATGTAGATGGTAAAACAATCAAAACTTGAATAAAAGAAATCTTTGTTATAAGAGCAAAAGTATCAAAATAATCATTATTTTGTTTTTGAGTAAAACCTTTAGTGGTACCTAGCCTTATATTTTTCAATTGATCCATCATGGTTATATTTCCGTTTAAAAATCCATTTGCACCCAATTGGTTTCGCTTTGAGAGGTAAATCTACCAAAGTCCAAGTATTACAATTTGTAATGAAATCAAGTTCAGATTGGACAACTTTTTTCCAAAACAATGCTTCAGTTGAGGAGAAGGCTTGTAAAATAGACAAAGGTTCATCATCAATAAGATACATATAAAAATCATTTCCAAAAGATTTTTCTTTTTCTTTGTC